CATGATTAAGGGATCCTACCGTTCAGCAGCCAACGTCCTCTGCTTGGCCCTGGTGACAAGGTAGGCCTCTCCAAACTGATGGGCATGTCGATCTTTAGCCTCCTTTAGAGCTTCTGATATGGCAGTCTCCTAACTCTTAGTGGTTGCCGCACTGGCATGCGCTTCGGCAAGCTGCATCTGGAGCATCCTAGAGAAGATCTCGGCTTCCTCAGCTCGCCAAAGGCACTTCCTCAGCTCCGAGGCTTGCCGGTCATACTGCTCATCTAGAGCAAGTAGGTACGTGGTCAAGTGCACCGCGGTAGGACTATCTTCTTGCGCATCCCACCCTTGCAAAGCCTCCATGCAAGCCCTCCATGCCTGTCGATTCTTTTCCAAAGGTGGAAAGAACCTCATGGGGGTACGAGCAATGTGCTCTTCATAGATCTGGCAAAGGTACCGCAAGGCTTTGCGGGCCACAACCTGGTAGGTGTCGACGAAGCGAAACCCGGTTGCGGTCACATTCCAGGCTTCAGTGATGTCAAGGAACTCTTCACTCTTCCCAATGTAGATGGTAACTTCACACCGCTCAGTGCCATGCTTTTCATACTCACGACCCTCATACACGGAACGATCTTTGACTCTGAGCTTTTGTAGGGTGGCATACAGGATCTTGGGAAAACCCTCAGTGTTTAGGCAGTAACTACTAACCCAGGCTCCTACCATCGCTGGCGGTGGTTGCAAGGAAGGACTGAGCAAAAAGCTAGGTCAAAAGGAAAAGCTAGGCGAGCTAAAGTGCACCGGGTGGTGGTACCAACAGCTAAGCCAGACCCTGCTTATAAAGGCAGAGTGGTCAGTGGTCCTGGCGTGGTCCACCAAGGTTCCAGCACGAGATCACTATAAATGAATCGACCGAATTTTTCGCGCGTTCGAGGCGAGCGATGGCCGAGGCCATTACTGACTAATACGGCTGCAAGACAAGGTTCCGACAAGAGCCCAGAAAAGAGTACGGGGAGACACGGGTCACGGCAGGCGTGAACCATAGGCGACGCGAAGCACAAAGCCACAGCTTAGCATTAACTCCAGAACAGGAACGAGTCAGTCGTGCACCATACGACACACGTGACACCTATGGATGGCGCATATGCAAGCAATACGGGCACTACAATGCACAAACAGGATATGCATGAATGCACATCCTATACGTCCTTCTACTATTGCCAACATATAGGACAACCGTTCGTAGATTTTTGGCACACCGATCTCTACCTATAGCTAGTAGATACTATCAGACTATGGTCGGGGTCAGTGTACCTGCAGAGAACTTGATTAAGCCTACCTAAGTCAGTAGAGTGTCATCTATCCTGGATACATAACCATAGTAATAGGGCTACTTATATAACTTCGCATGCAATGTCCTAACTTTTTGAAAAGAATTTGTTGTCAAGTTTTAGTTTAGAAATAGGTTCCGAAGCTTTATTTCCTCATTTATGCCGATGGTGCTGCTGGTAGTGTAGGGCACACGAGTGGTGCAAGGAAGGCAGCAGATCTTCAGCCGTAGTCCGCAGCGATCGCCCTAATGTTTGCCATGGTGAGGTGGACACGGAGGTGCTAAGGGATGATGGGACGTTGCACGGCTAGGAAGTTGAACCTGCACTGGCTAAGGAGCCATATTAATGGCGACCAACCCCAACCACCGACCACCTCGGGAGCAACGTGCACGCAACCCAAGCCGTCTCTTAGATGCATGGATGCATGTGTAAGTACAAATGTTCCTGCATGGTCGGTGAATTGTTTTTATCTGTTGGTAAGGAGGAGAGGCATTAAATGTGTCCACCTGCCCGACTTGTTTTTATGTGATGGTAGCATGGAGGGGAGACATTAAATGTGTCCACCTGCTTTCGACCCACCCTACGTAGGTGAAGATGTCCAGTGCTTTCAAATTTACTGAGTGAATTTTTGGATAGCTTAGGGAGGCACTCGCCATCTTGTTTTATATACTTTGCACGTTCAGTCTATTGCACTCCTCGTATAAATTCTTCGGGGACCACCATTTATTGCTTCATCATTACCGTTTTTTGCGGGTCTTTACCGTGCTTTTAGTGGGCTATAAAACTTTTATTCGTGGACAATTTTGAGTGTTAACACTTAAGTACTCTCGCCATCCTAAAATGAATATAATTCTCACTTTTCAATATGTCAGACAATTTTAAATTTAATCAATGAGATAGGGGGTGTGGTTTTAAAGATGCAGCCAGAGATAGCGTGATGTGAACCTCATAAATTGCCTTCTACTTTGTCAGGACCATACAAAATCTTACAGACATGGTTTACGCTTTCAAGGCGTTGAAAAAGTTAGTTCAAATTTGGTCACCTCCATTCTTTTTAGGTTCATACTTCCCTACTTGTGGCCGGGGAGGAGCTGTGCCACAGGTGCTCAGCTTCTCGCCATTAATGGTGTCGCTGTGGCGCCATGGCTGCACAGGACGATGGGACGACGTTGCAGGTGGGCGGTGCGGCGTGTAGCGGGGGTGGATGCTCGGCATGCATGGCCGGTAGCTCGTAGCGTGATGGTCGACACGCATGCGAGTACGAACCACGTGCATGCTGCTGAGGCCTTTACTTGTGCCTGCGAGCTAACTTTGCATGGTGCATGCAAATGGACGGCGGCTAGTTAGCGTGATTAAAGGTAACAAGATGCTGCTGGTGCGTACGTGGTACATGTGGTGGTTGTCTACATGCGTGCTTGCCTTACTCTATTTGCTGCGCATATACAGTTGTGCTGCTCGTGCTGCTGCCATGCATGGAGAAGGGAGAGGGAGGGAAGGTGGGAAGCATTTCTATGATTAGCATATGGCACACAAACAAGGGTACAATGTTGTGCTTGAGCAATGTCCCAGCACCCCTGTATCTGCTTTAAAAATAATTACATCCATTTCAGTTTAAAGAAGATAGTACATGCATATTGGGAAGACTGAAATTGTTTCCACCCGACAGTTTCCACAGACATTTCTAAGGTAAACAAACCATCTAGCCATTTTTCTTTCCCTCTCATTCTTTACATCATATCACTTTAATGGAATAAATGTACCATCTCAACATTTCTGCCAGAAAAAGAAAATAGTTTATGATCTTGATAAGGTGTTCTGTACCCATAGGGAAACAATAGATGCTATGCACATACAAGAAAGGGAAGAAAAGATAGCTCACCAAATGGTCAAATTCCAAGATAAGACATGCTTCACATCTTCTTTAGTTGCCTTGTAGCCACACCTATCCCTCCCTGTGGTTAGGTCTGAGAATTATGTGTAGGTATAATGCAGAATAACAGACTCCTCCAATTTGATTTCACTACATAAAAAAAGAAATATATGACAAAACCATCAAGCAGAAAGAGACTATAGATTGTTAATTCACCACTTGTTTTAACAAATAACTCTGTATATTCATATCTCTTATTTTGGGGATTTGATGTGATTATGCTATCTATGAGCACCGTTCGGATGCAAATGCTCTCTGGTATGTGTCTTGAAATTCTATGAATTTTCTATAAACTTCTACATCATTTACTACTTATCCTAAAAGTTGAGGACGTTACCCGGTTCCCACTGATAGCACTCACAGAAAGGGTGGTAGGTGGGGAAGAAGGTTGTAGGCTATTTGCGATCTCTTGGCGGTGGCCATCAGGAAGCTACTCCTCTCTGGGGTAGTGTTGCTGTTTCTAGAGGAGCTTTAATTTTGCTATGTGTAATTGCGCTATTGTTGACTGTTGGTAGCAAAGAAAACCAAAAGCCTAGATCAGATTACTCTTGAAGAAAATCTATGGACAGCAACACGAAGGTGGCACTGACGCCGTTGCCGTCCAAATGTCAGAGACAAACTTGCCGGCCCTGAAGAGCTGAGCGTACAAGCATGGTCACGGATCCTGAAGACGTGCATGCAGATCGAACCACCACTATCCAGAAGACGTGCGCACATATCGAAGCTACCCCCAGCAGGGGCAGCTGCTGGCAACAGGCACGGCCGCCGCGAGCGGCTGCGTGGGAGCCGTGAGCCCCACCAGGAACGCGGACACATAGCCACCCCTGACCGCCGTGGGCGCGGACGAGCAGGCCCGACGGGTCACCGCCGTAGGCATGGACGAGCATGCCTAACAGGCCACCGCCGCAGCCACCCCGGCCATCAACGGGCGCGCGAGCACGAGGTGAGCTGGCCTTGCAGGCCGGCCGTCGCCGTAGTCGTCCAGCTACCACCGCCGCAGGCGAGAACGTCTGGTCGCTGCAGCTGGCCGTCACCATCCCGCCGTCCGCCAGAAGCGTGAGTGCGCGGGCGCTAGCTCTAAGCCGGCCAACCACCAGCAGGGCAGGCTAGCCCAGATCTAGCCGCCCGGCAGCCGCTGCAGGTGCTTGGGAAGGCGTGCGCGAGCTGGCCCTGCAGGCCACCGCCCAACCGGCCGCTAGCCTCGGCCTCTGGGCACGCGCAAGGCGCGGCCTACGCCAGCAGCCTAGCCCCACTGGAATGCGAGCGCGCAGACGTCTGACTTTCCCAGCTCACCACCGCAGGCTCGTTGAAAAACTACCAACATAGATGGATGAAGCTACAATTTATTGGTATTCAAAATTAGCGTCCTAAGCTTGAAAATATTGGCAACCTATAATAGGAGACTAATCGCCATATTGGTCTCTATGAATCCAATATGGAATACGCTAATCATCTCCATGTGGCATAGCGAGCATCCAACAGGTGGCGACGATCAATCGAGGAAGTCTGGGGAGCTGCATATATACAAGGAATTGAGTCATAAATTGAGAAAATAGGAAGGCTGTAGGATAGGAATGGGATAACTTGATGTAAAATGCGTGTCCAACAATTGTGCTGGCTTCGTAATAATAGTAACGCTACGGTATTTGATAGGGTTAATTTAGAAGCGTATAATTAATTTATAGAACCATATGAAAAGACAGACCTAGCTGTAGCAAACAAATGAAACGAAGCATAATTGCATATATGGCATAATTTAATTATTAGGTAAGCACGACGAAGGGAAATGTTGGTGACGCAAACACAACTGGACAATTGTCGTAACCTAATTTCGCAAGTATCCTGTAGAAGGACCCGAACTTACACTGCAAAAAAACAGTGGCGGCCAAATTGTCTCAGCGTAAGGATAATGTCATAATGCAGGTCACCAAGAGCAGGTAAGAAGGTGATTTGTAATAGAAGGTAGAGGAACTCAAAAGGAGAATTTCAGCAACCTAACTGACAGAAACTGCTCCCCATATTATTGTCCAGGAATCCACGGTACAGTACAGTAATAATTATGTGTAAGGTGTGATAACCATGACAATGACAGATTCAGTTAAGGGGAATGTTTATCATCAGTTGGGATAAAATAACTGCACAATGACAATGTAGGAGACTGCACATGATCTGTACATGGTAAGACCTTATTCATAGGATGTTTGTATAAAGCATATAGGCCTAGATCATCATGAGACACAAATAAGCAGAAATGCAAGAATTGGTCATTAGAAAATTCTGACAGCAATGATGAGTACGTTTAGAATACCTAGGTGTCTAAAGAACATTGTTTTATGCTTTTACCTATGGCAACATGGAGCATGTAAAAAACCATCAGCAACGTTTTTTTCTTGGGCCATTAGAAACATATGCAGCAATTTTTGTTGCCCCAGTAGGAATGTACGAAGCTAACTGATGCAGTGATGGTGTGATGCACCCATTTGCAGAGATCTTTTCGCCAAAAAAAAGGAAACACAGATTATACATATAGCAATATTAGCATCTTGATGTGTTTGGTGCCTTGACATGTTCACCTAGAGAACACTAATGTCAGAAATAAGAATAGAATGATTCAAATACAGTAAACTCAACTATACTCAGGACCACATCATAAGGGGGAAAAAATAAAATGATGCGGATGTAGACGTATAAGATATACGAAAACAGAACTATTAGCTGTACCCCTGTATCTTATACATGGGCTGAAACGCACCAGCGATAACAAATCAGCAGACTGCACCATGGAAACGACAGTAGCCCAACGGAGTCGTAGCACCTTCAAAATTGGCTGGGGATCACAAAATCCAAACAGCAAGTAGAGAGTTTCGGAACCTCGCTCTTGCATGACGTTTTTTGCAACGAAGCAATAAATACTCAATAGGCAGAGCTGCATGTAAGGCATTACGTAATTCAGTAAATTCCTGAAATGTCAATGTATTTTTGACTCTCCAAAAGGGTAAAGAACCAACAGAGCAAGTAGGGAGGTGGCCTGTTACTATGTTATGTTCAAGGCCGTCGCACACTTTTTTGTTGCAATATGACTGGAGAAAAGAAAAGTCGGTGTCAATATATATAACAGAAAATGACTGCAGATCTTAGCACTATACATGGTAATTTGGCAAGAGCAAACCAACCTAGCAGAGGAAAACATGGAGAGGAGGCCTAATTATTTGTAAAATGAGATTCATCAATTCCCTTGCACAAACCATAGCAGAGGAAATATACAGTTCGTATTGCAAATTGAGACTATATATAATTGCTACTGTATATGGTTGCTATTGACATCTAACTGAATCACATCTGCATATGGTTTCCAAAAAAATGACAGAATAAAAAGAAAGAAGGTAGAGCATACCTCGTGTTGAGGCTCCTGGAGGACAACACTGGTGCAGCTTCCATGCGAAGGAGAGGGCCGTAGGCGGAGGGGGCGCCTGCATCGGGGCAGGCTGGTCCGTGGCGGTGCCACCGCGCTGGGGCTGCCCGCGCGCAGGGTGCCACACACCGCCGCGACGGGGCTGGCCGTGCTGGTTCCCGCCGCCGCGGGGCAGTGCGGGAGGGGCGGACCTCCCTTAGGCGCGGGGCAGCGCGGGAGGCGGGCGTCCATCGCGGAGCGGCAGACAGACGTACGCGGCGCAAATGCGGAAGACCTAGTCTATAGGGGAGAGATGGCGCGACGACGCAATGAGGACGCACAAAGCGGCGGCGCCGCCAGCAGGGGCGGAGAGGGAGCGTGGGAATGGGAGGTTGCCGAGAGAGGTGGACGCGTCGAGAAGTTTCTGGTGGCCTTCGGTGGGAGATGGGGAGAGGATAAGGTTTGAGGGGGAGCCGCGTAGACCACATGCACCAGCCGCCCCCACGGGGGAGCCGCGGCCACCGGTGGTGCCCTCTTAGCCACTGGCGCCATGTCGGAAGCACGGACCCCGGGCGCGCTCATGCTGGTGCGCCGCGCACACGCAGCGGGTATCCACCGGCGCTCGCGGCCTGGAGGCGTGCCGCCACCCCGAAAGCGAAGGCGCGCGAGAGAGATGCGCGCAGCGGGGGGAGGGGAGGCGGCTGCGCCCACCGTCGGGGCCTGGCCACGCCGGTGCGCCGGAGGCTGACAGATGCAGCCGCAGATCTGGAGAGAGGGAGAGGAAGAGAGAGAGGCGCCGTCGGGCCACCCGCGCCATTGGCTGGCCTGGCCGGTCGGTGCGCTGTCGCCTCGTCCTATCCGCCTGGATGCGCTGCCGCGTGGAGAGAGAGAGAGAGAGAGGCAAAGAGAGAGGTGGTCGAGAGTAGAGAGAGAGGAGGTTGAGAGTAGAGAGAGAGGGAGGAAGGAGGCGGAGGGGGAAAACTCACCCGCGGCTCACAGATGCACGCACATAGTAGTAACAAGCATACAAAAGCAAGCAAGGCCTCAGCAACATGCACGCACGCGTACTCGCATGCGTGCCGACCACCATGCTAATTAGGCACCGGCCATGCATGCCTAGAATCCACCGTCCCCTGCTACGCGCCATCGTCCATTTACGTGCTGCGTACAATCACCAGGGAAGCCCTGCTTCATTGAATGCGTCCACCTGCTTTATCTATCCACTGCCGAATGCATGGAGGAAGACTTGTTGTGACGCAATTCATCTGAGTCGTGGAATTTCTATCTAACGCACCAACTAAATAGAACGTACGTGGACACTCTGGGAGGCCGCCTATTCCACGTGCCTTTATATCTCTAATTAGATTATATAATCAAAGTTTGATCCAAAATATGATCCTATAATCCAGGCGGTAAGGATTATGAGTGTTAAAGTCTTGTCTCTAACTGATTGGTCCAACTTACCAAACTATAGAGGATAAAGTAGAAATTTATCAATCTAACCAACCATAATCAATTACCATAATTTATTGATCCAAACACTTCGATTATTACAATCCATAATTATGATTATAATCAGCCTGTTCGTTTGGTCGTAAACGATCGTGGATTATAAGCCAGAACAGTATATTTCTCTCATACTAAACCAGCCAGCAGTAATAATCCACGATCGTTTCAGCCGAAACGAATTGGGTGAATATTATAATAATTCTATATACAATTTAGATCATAATAATCGAGTTGTGATCCATGCCCCTGACTACTGTTTTATAGAGGGGACCGTGAGAGGCCATCAAAGTACGCACTGGTAAGCGTACCCACAAAGGTGGCATTACCGGCGAATGCTGCTAGCAGCGACGTCGGAATCGGCGGCACGTCCAGGATCACGACCCCCTCCAGCGCCTGGACCACCTGCTCCATCGACGGCCGGTGAGCCTCGTCGTCCTGCACGCACCAGCAGGCCACCCTGCACGCGCGTTCCAGCTCCCGAGCGTCCGCGTCGCCGTGCAGGCGCTCGTCCAGCAGCCCGACGAGCGCCTCCCCTTCGTTGACCATCCTCGCGGCCACCAGCGGGAAGTACCCCGACAGCGACGCCTCCTGCTCTGTAGTCGCCCAGCCTCGTGCGTTTCTCCGGCCTGAAATGATCTCCAGCAGCACCATGCCGTAGCTGTACACGTCGGCCTTGGCGGTGATGGGCACGCCGGAGATCCACTCCGGCGCGAGGTACCCGATGGTGCCCCTCACCGTCGTCAGGACCCTGCTGAAGTCCCTTCCTAGCAGCTTCGCCATGCCGAAGTCGGCGACCTTGGGCACGAGGTTGACGTCGAGCAGGATGTTCTCCGGCTTGATGTCGCAGTGGATGATGCAGTCCCGGCACCCCTCGTGGAGGTACAGCAAGCCCCGGGCAGCGCCCAGCGCGATCTGGAACCTCGCGCGCCAGCTCAGCGCCGGCGCCGCCGTGAAGAGCGCCCTGTCCAGTGAGCCGTTGGGCATGTGGTCGTAGACGAGCAGCCGCTCGCTGCCGTGGGAGGAGAAGCCGCGGAGCCGGACGAGGTTGACGTGCTGGATCATGCCGATGGTGCGCACCTCGTTCCTGAACTGCTTGTCCCCAACGCAGAGGACGCCTTCCAGCTTCTTCACGGCGACGGCGGCGCCGACACCGGACAACGTACCTTTGTACACTGAGCCGAAGCTGCCACCGCCGAGCTTCTCCGAGAAGTTCTTGGTCGCCCTCCTAATGTCGTTGTACTTGAACGCCACGAGGCTACCGCCTTCTGCTGCAGCTTGCAAGAATCTTATGTTCCTCTGTCTTCTCCTAAACATCTTAACAAGCACGGTCGCGATGACAGACACGCAGACTAGGATCGACGCAGCTGAGGCAACAGAAACGAAGACGACGACCGTTCTTTTACGACGGCCATTCGAGGGCACGTCCATGGCAGACAGCCGGAGGTAAAGGTCATCCGTGCTTGCTGTGTCCATGGCAGACAAGCCGAGCAGATCACCGTACCAGAGAGCACAGCGACTACCGTAGGAGTAAGCGCTGCAGTCACAGCTCCTCAAACACGCTGACCTGCAGTCTTCAGCGCTTGATGGTGATGCTCCTGCAGCCGCAGGGGACGAGTTACTCGGCAAGGAAATACCTGGCGCCCACAAGAAGGCGTCGCCGCCGTCCTTGTCGCGCAACGAACTGTTGTGACAGTGCAAGGGATTGTTCCGGCGGCAGCCATGTGAGTGGTCTCCGAGCTCCCAGTCCTCCACGGAGGAGGGCCGGAAGCCGGCGGGGCAGCTACATAGTAGCTCGCTCTTCTCGTCGCAGATGCCGAACGCGCCGCAGATGGCGTAGACGTCGCAGAGCTTGTGCGGCTCCTCCCATATGACCATCCACTCGTCGGCGGACGGCAGCCACATGATCTGCCTCGCCTGGCCGGAGACGTCCACGACTAACCTGGAGATGACCGTGGGATCTTGCAGGGAGTAGTCGAAGTAGCTGGCGTTCGAGGTGTCCACGAACTCGAAGTTGTACTTGTCGTGCGACGTCATCTCCGGGAGACCGGCAAATATGCTGCCTGTCCACTCTCCACTGCTCCAGTAGTTCACGGTCCTGTTCCAGGACAGGAAGAACTGGCTGGTCCCGTGCGGATCGATTCCCAGGGAGTACATGCCGGGAGCCGGGTCACTGGAGCTCCTCCAAGAAGTCAGAGCCTGCACGTGGCCGGTGATCTTGTTCATGCCGAGACGGACTCCCGGGAGCCACGTGTCGGTGGGGTGCTCGGCGCTCTGCCACAGGACCTCGCCGTCGTCGCGCCGGAGGACGAGGTTTCCGCTGTCCAAGAGGACAGCCACGGTGCCGTTGGAGCTGCTGCCGGAGATGACGACGTTCGAGGACCAGACGAGCTCGCCGACCTCGTTGGTGAGCACGAGGTTGCCGTCCGGCGCAACGGCGAGCTGAGATGACGCGGGGTCGGAGACCGGCGCGGCTCTGTTCGCAACCCACACGGGCGTGCACGGCGTCACGGCTTTCTTGTACCAGATTCCCACGTAGTAGTTGTGAGAGGAGGTCGTGTTGCTGTCACCACCTGCTGCTGCTGGACGGAAGAAGCCCAGCTCGAAGCTGCCGCCTGTGGACACGACGGTCCGGCGGCCGGAGATGGCGGAGTTGGCGGTGATGGTGTCCGATGCGAAGCACCGTGCACTGCCGATGATGGCCACGATCATGACAAGTAGTAGCGCTGTTGAAGGCATCGGTAAGATAGACGATGGAAGGGAGAGCAACTGCGTGTGTACGTATTGATGATCGAGTTGGGAGTGAACTCATCTGGTACCTACCTATCCGTTGATAGCAAGTTATTATACACAGGAACTAAACGAGAAAATTGCAATTATTGGACACCAGACAATGCGCTTCGTAATTATAGGACTCCAATCGTCGACTTCGTTAAAATGACCCTTGAAACGTTGGCTTCTTATTTTAGATGACATTTGACGTATTTCTTTACTTTGTTAATCAAAACACATGTATTTTGGCCCTCTTGTGACCCTTCTGCCCTACTCGGATACTCCTCACTCGCTGAGACACGAGAAGCTTCCTAACCCTTCCTCTGCCGGCGAGCCCGCCCTGCCGCTTCCCCGCGCTGCAGCCTGCTGGCACCTCCGAGCGAGGCCGCGTCCACCGCGCGCACCGACCTGCCGCCTCCGGGCGAGACCGCCACGTCGAGATTGGCAAGCCGAACCGACCTGTCGCCTCCCCGCTCGCCCGCTACCCTCTTACTTTCCTTGGCAGCGGGCCCCCGCTCGTCCCCATCGCGCTGGGCCGCTTGCAGGAGGGACGAGAGCGGTCGGCGGCGAGACTGCAGCAGGACACGGCGGGAGCCCCGCGCCGACCCAGAACCTGTACCCGAGCGTGACGGCGTTCGCAAGCGTGGAGGCAAGGATGGCGAGCACCTAGAACGACGACCGTGAGAACTCGAGCCACAGAAACGCCATGGCGACCATATCTCGGCCCCGACAGCAGCGTCCCGCGAAGATGGCGGACGACACGGCCGCCATCAGAAGCGCGTGCACCGCGGGGAGCGGGCCTAGCGGCACCACGAGCGCACCGTGGAGAGCAGCGGCGTCGACCATGGCAAAGGGGCGCGGCGTCCACAGCAACGGTAGTCGGGATCAGGAGCAGCGCCGATCGCGGCGAGGCGAAGCGAAGGTTCTGGATGGTGGCGTGAAGCGAGGAAGGGTTAGGAAGCAGCAAAGCGCCA